TGGCCTTGTGCCCGTGCCGCCGCGCTGCCTCTGCCTTCCCGACGACCTCCCACCTGGGGCAGGAAGGCAACATGGCACCCAAGGTAGAGGTAAGCTCTCCCATGCCTGGTCTGCTGTGACCAGATGCAGATTTTGGGCAAGTCATCAACTAACCAGGTCCTGATTTCTTCATCTGCAGAAAGATGATTTTAATGGCAACGTGCTCACTTGCCAGTGCTTTCGGAGAACCAGTGATGTCACACACTATGACGCTTATCTGCCCCTCCTTGCACAGCCCACCTCCTTCCTCCAGGGCTTCCTGCACCAGTCAGACCTGCACCTGCTCCTGGCCTGCTCGCTGCTGACCACTTCCTCTGTGTATGTTGGTTCTATCGGCCACTTAAACCCAAAGGCCAGCTCACTGGCTGTCCATCAGCCACTACCTCCTCACAGCCACCTTCCTGTATGCTTATAGCCTCTGGGACTCACCAGCTTTTCTCCTACACCTGCTAGCTGCCACGCGGAAGAGCAGGGCCCTTGCCTCACTCCTGTCTGTATCACCTGCACAAGTCTGGCGCATAGCGGAGCCTGCTGAACAAACCTCACACTGAGCACCCAGGAGGCGTTCAGCCAGGGCTTGATGGATTACAAATGTGGACTCCAACCATCCAGAGTGAGCTCCATGCTGCACGAACACTGCCAAGAGAACGTGTTAGGGGAACGGCAAGGGCCAGAGCAATCCAAAGACCTCTGTTGTGGCAGTTATTCATCAAACTCTGCACAAACATGCAGGACAGAGGTCAGACACATTTGGCTAGAAAACGCCTGTTGTCTTCCAGCTCTTTCCTAACCCAAACACTACTACAGCACAATGGAAGGGCTCCTTTCAGCCAAGACTGGTTGCTCCTTACCACTGAGTGTGAGAAAGCACCAGTTCTAGATCAAACACTCCTACCTCCCACCACTTACGCTAAATGTAAGAGGGGCTAACATCTGTACCTCCCAGTGTCACCCTCACCAAGAGCAAGAGTGAGAGGGAGAGCGAGAGGGGGGGAGGGGGAGGGAGAGAGGTGGAGGAGGAGGAAAGAGAGAGAGAGAGAGAGAGAGAGAGAGAGAGAGAGAGAGAGAGATTTCTGTCTACACAGAGAAAGCGGGAGTTCTGATGGGGCTCTTTTGCCTTTCCTCAAGTGAAATGGAAGGTCAGGCCAGTCAAGACTACCATCTGCCCTGTTCTTCACTAGGGGCAATTTTGGCACCAGAAGCCCATTTAGCCATTCTGGAGACTCTTTTGGATGTCCTACTGGGGGGACAAGGGACATACTGATGGCACGGAGAGGAAGGAGCTAGGAACACTGCTAGACATTCTCCAATGCACAGGACTGCTTGTCCCCCAACAAATGATTACCCAACCCAAGGCATCAAGAGTGCCAAGAGACCCTATGACCCTGTTCTAGGGTAATAGAGTTCCGAAGTCCTGACGGTTTTCCTCCCCATCTGTCCTTGCTGCCCTTTCTGGACCCAAACCTGGGAAGTCCTGCCCCGCCCCCTTCTGCCCCCGGCACACATACAAACCTTGCAATGCCGGTGGACAGGATGGCGGTGGAGGTCTTCAGTTCCTCATAGAGGTCTGCGCCATTCAGGGGGAAAGCGGAGAACTGAGCCAGCAGCACCCGCCGCAGGGCAACCAGGGCCTGCCAGAGGGGCGACACTCAGGCTCCGAGGGGTCTCGCAAGGCAGCCCCGGGTCTACTGAGACCCACCTCCACCTCCTATCCCATCTGCGCTAAGGTTTAGGGAGGGACATCTGAAGACGCACACCTGAAGACGCGCAGGTATGGGCCGTGTAGCCCACAAGCTCACCTTGTAAGACAAACCACACTTCTGGGCCACCTCCTCCAGGTCTGCTGCGGCCAGGTCCACCACTAAATACGAGACGCGTGGAGCTGACAGGCAGCGAGGGCAGCCTGGGCTTCCCACGGGGGCTTTTCCTGCTCTGTGCAACAGGGTATGCACCCCACAGCACACGGCAGGGGTCCTCCCATCCCCGGGATTTGGCTCCCGCACTCCCGGCCTCCCCAGCCGGCCCCCCAGGGGGTGTGGGCCTCCTGCGAGTGGGGTCACCTGTCTTGATCCCGTGGCTCCGCAGAAGCTGGACCATCTCCTCGGTGAGGCCCGGGCACAGTCCGGCCCTCAGCATGCCCATGCTTCCTGTGGGCCGCCGACAGCCCCGGGCAGGCCCGATCAGAGTCCCCCGTCACCTGGGCATCCTCGGGGTCCCCTCCAGGCGGCCCTGCGCGCGCCTTTCTGGAGAGGATCCTGGAGCGTGGGCTACGGGAGGAGGTGGCGGAAGAGGTTGGGGTGACCACCCGACACCCGACCTCCGACCTGCCGGAACCCGCCCGGCCTCGGGGGACCTGGGCCGCCCGGAGCGGCGGCGCCAAGCCCGCGCTTCCGGGTTCCGGGCTCCCGCGCGCCGTGTGGCCCTGGCCTGCAGCGCCATCTGCTGGCAGTTCTTGCGAAACCCCGGCGGCCGGGTCTGCGGGACCGCGGCTGAGGCCCTGCGACAGCGCCCCGTGCTCCGCCGACCACCGCGTCCGCGGCCGCATTGGCCTCTGCTTTCTTCCTTGACTCCAAAGCCAACCTTGCGCTTGCCAGGGAAGCGCTTATTCCACTGAGCCATCTCCCTAGCCACTAAGGCCAACTTTCTAATGAGCTGCCTGTGTGCCAGCCTCGTTCCAAATGCTGGGGACAAAAATTAATTTTAGTGGAGGGAAAGTATCCTTCAATATACGGAACACAATTTTGAAAAGTCTTTTTTCTTTTTTTAATTTTACCACATCCACTGAT